ACAAGATAACGGGGAGGGGCTACCCTGATGGAGCCGTATTTTGGCGAACAGTTGGTCGGTCGGTGGGCATGCATCGTGGCATCGATGAACCGGTTCACATGACAAGGGGTGTGTATGTGTCCTAATAAAGAACTCGGATGCGTCCTGGGTTGATTTTCAACACTCCTGCAACTGACAGACAGAGGTAAGAAAGACGTACGTTGGGGCTAATAATAATCTATTTCCCAGGTCAAGAGTGCATCGCGAATCGAACGGTTTACACACAGCCTGATTATGATGTCGGTTCAATATCGCCTTTAATCATGAGCCCATTCGGAAGGTTCCGACCACGAGTCGGACGCCGGGGTTCAAGATAGGTTGGAGCTTGTTGCAAATGAGTCTGCGTCCTAGTCAGAACGTCATGAGGACTTCGACGAAGGTATGAGGTCCTCGGTAATATTGAAGAACTGTTCAAAGAACTCACAAACGTGCAAACTCAATCAAGACAGCAGAATGCAGAGAACTGGGAAGGCCCGTCTCGAGATCACAACCTGCTGGGCTAGTCCTTGTGAACACGTCTTCGTTTTCCGCTAAAGAATACACCTGTGCATTTTTCATCAATCAGAAGCTTTACTTGATAAATCAACTGGGAATCTGACCCTCGTTCTTCGCAGGAATCTCTTCAGGGCCAGGCTGTGTGGGCCCGTCACGTCGATCGTATGAGGTAAATCTTGCCTGCCGCGTGCGGTACCGCTCGTCTATAGACACCCACATGATGAGAGCTATGACGAAACTCTACGGCACGTTTCCAGCAATAGCGCTGCCGCGCAGTACGGGTACGGCGATAGCCTCTCTATGAACATTGTCGGCCGTTGCTTCCAAGGATACTTACAGAAAGATGGACATCGTTGCCCGAGGAGTTGAGGCATTGGTTGTGTGGCGCAGCTCTCGTGTTGATCGGTAGAGACAAGAATTAAATAAAACAGGGGAATAAACCGCTGTTGCTAACGCTGTATGGGCATCACCATGATGATTTAGCATCGGTTGGACGAAACGTAGGAGTGCCTCACCGTAAATAACTGCTGATGATGGCAAGGACACGGGCTAGACGGGCGGACTAACGCTGGCATTCAACGGCAGTTGGCATTGCCATGAGCTGACACGCAGATTGGATCCAAGCCCCTCTGCATAACGACGACCAAGTAAGGCTGACTAATGCAGGGACACTTGAGTCGGGCTCGGACATACTTTCGCACCGCGTTCCCGCCGTTTGTGAGGGAAAGTGAGGCACCGTCGATGCTCAAGCTGGAGCGTCGTTCCGAAAAAGATACCGGTGGTCCGTGTCGGAGCTTGAAGAGGTGCCTGTTTACCGTCTTCCGGTCAGGGTAATGTACATCGCCTGTACCTACCGGACCCCGCGTACGCACTTTGCGAATCTCTTGGACATTACCCGACTACGTAGAGCCTTCCATCGGCTATGTAGTTGGTCGGATACACAAGGGCTGGGTGCTCCACACCATCTACCGAGCTCTTCGAGAAATTCAGCACAGTAGAAAGTAGCCGGACCACTGTTGGTAACTGACACCAAGTATCCTGAGTGCTGAAGCGACCTTCTCATGACCTCATCCGACCGCGGACACGAGATTTTGTATGTTATCCATCGGGAATCGGTGACAGTTGCACAAACATTCTGGGTCGGGCGTCATCGAACTTGCAGATTCACCCGAACATACAACGCAAAGATGATATCGCGTACCTTGAGATGAGTCCTGGATGCGCTTGTTGCCCCATCGCATTTGTTTTTGTAAATTTGGGGGGAGGCACGCGTTGCTTATCGGGCCTTGAGGCAACAATCCGTCGTACTGTGTTACTCATCTGACCATGGCGCTGTTAATTCCAGTAATTACTTCGTAGCTGTTGTATCCTCTAGCCAAAGTATTGTGCCAACAATAGTTTGATGAATCAGAATGAAAGATATGTTACAAGGTTGAAACAGAACGGATATCATTCAAATTTTTGCTATGGGATGGTCTTTGACACGCCCTACAATAGGGTACCGTTTCCTAGCACCAACTTAGTACCGCACCATGTACACCGATAAGGCAGCACTCACAGAAAGAAAGCATGCCAGTCATCGAGGACCTTCATATCCTTCTCATCCAGCACGCTGTAGTCCGGCACCGCATCCTCCACCTTCAAACTCGACATACCCAGCCCCCGGGATCCATCCTTTCCAGCAAACACGCTGTACGACTTTCCGGGACCGTACACGTCCCCTTTCCTTGTGACATCGAATATCGTTCCTGATGACGATAAGCAGGAGCGAGCGAGCGAGCCGCCTAGGCCCACTCACCTTTGATAGACACGTAGATTGGCTTGGACGGGTCTGAGCCATCATACTGGCGCAGCTCCTCTAGGGAATAAGGGTCGTCTTTGGGAGGTGGTAGATCGTCTTTTGGAGGCTGCATTATCGTCTTTACTGGCTCTTCTTCCACAGAGGGCGGTGGCGGCGACGCGGTTGCTGGTGGTGGTGCTGGAAAGAGAAACCGATGTCCGATAAATGCGACAGGGACCGCTAGCAGCAGAGTGTATGCGGGGAAATTGGGAAATGTGGAGAAGTCGACCATTTCTGTCCAAGCTAGAATGTGAAATTCACCGGTCTGTTCAGTATCACGTGGAATTGCTGTTGCTTGCCAGGGGCGTCTCGGCCCGGGAGCCGAAGCGCGTCTAGGGAATTTTTTTTGGCGAGATCTTGAATCGAACATGCTCCGGCTTGGTTTTGCCCTTCGTCGTCTGGGCAGATCCTGCACCCCTTGCGCGTCTTATGCTACCACAGCCGAGTCTTCGTCCCTCGGCCTCCACCGCACAGTCCGTGTCGAAAATCTCCCAGAAGGGTACAATGTCGGCAACATCATCGACGCTGTGAAAGCCAACCCTTCGGAGACGATAATACCTTCAAAAGACCACCTCCTCGTTAAATTCTTCGATGAAGGAACCGCTAGGCGCTGCGTTGAGGCGAGCAAAGAGCTTTCGGTGAAGATTGACGACTCGACTTCGCCGGCACTATCCACCCAGACTGTCGCATCGCTTGCAAAATACAGTGCAACGCGCGCGATACGGTTAGGTACACTTCCTGAGGACTTCTCCGAATCTCGGTTCAACGAGATCCTCTCCCAGTACGGGGTCGTCTCGTCGCGCTTCGACAAAGCGACTGGTGTTGTCGAAGCACAGTTTTTGGATCTGCAACAGGCTTCCAAGGTATTCTCCCTCGAAAAGTATGTCATCTGTACCCGCTAACTTCTTTATCATTAACAAAGGCCCGGACTGACTTGGCAAAGGCGGGAGCCTATCCGAAATACGTGGATAGCGAACACTTCATTTACCCAGAATGGTACTCGAAGCAAGACTCCCAGCCTGATCAGCAGCGCCTCGTACGGGTCACCGGCCTAAAAGACCCCCAAATACACGCAATGTGCACGAGCTGGACCAACGACTACACCCAAGTTCCTCTAGCGGCGTTCATCTCAGCCCGGTTCGTTAACGGCACAGTCAGTCAGCATCCCATTTCAACCCATCCACCAGTCCTGACCGATCTTCCTAGGAAATGTCGGTTTTCTTCCCGACATCGGCGTTGGCTCGACAATTCATCACGGCATGTGAACCTCTGGCGAACGGACAATGCACGCTGTCGCTGCGAACCTCGGATCGGGTCGTCTCTCCTGGTGTGGTCACCGCCATCGACCAGGGTGCACGGCGGATGGTAGCTCTTCCCTACAGCGGGACCCTGTCGGAAAAAACGCAACGTCAGTTCGGTCGTTTCTTCAGCCGCTTCGGCCGCGTAGATATAAAGTAAGCCCACCCTTACCCTCCTCCATTCTGCTTCTTACTCACGTTGCTTCGTGCAGGGACATCACCCATACTGAAGGCCAGTTGCTAATTCCCTTCAACACCGTCCTCGGCGCTGCGAGCTTTGTGTTTCCGTTCCATCGGGGTCTAAAATTAAAGACAGCGTCACCAGTGGTAGAGGAAATCAAGGACGCTCGGCCGACCTTTGTTGGATCTCATCTCTCGGAATGATTCCACAGTCGCGTGTTTTTGCGCATATATCCATACAAAATCGATTTCGTGCAACATAATCTTCTCATTGATTGACAGAAAGCAAGATCAAGCGGAGCAATCTAACGCTCGAAAACTTATGAACCTCGGCGTACTATTTATTTTGTGTTTATGTGAGAACCAAACAATGCTCACTAGGTGACAAAACCTGATAACATCGAGCAACGCCTCGCGCTTGTTCTTTTCTGTCAAGCGTGGTACAAGCAGCGAGCAGTGCTAGTGAGCACCCAAGACCTGAGAGTCAAGGGATTCGCGTCCAGTCAAAGTCGCGCCGATATTGCCGAGTACCTTCCAAAGTACCCCTTGGGGAGGGGTCGGTAAAAAAAGGTAAGTTACCCCCCTGGAGGTTTTGTGCGCAACCCTTTCGCAAACCAAGCATTTGTTATTGATGAGTATTAATAATTACGCTTTAGCACTAACTCTTGAGTAGGGTTGCGCACGAAACCCTAGGTTTTGATACACTAGGGTTTCGGACCGGTAAGTTACCGGTTAGTTACTGGTAATTTACCTCTCCCCGCTGGAGCGGTTTTCGTCGAGGTAACTTACCTGTCATGTGATGACATATGAGCAGCAATATCACCACCATACTCGGTCCTATTGCATTCATATTTCATTCATATTTCATTTACAACGTAAAACATAGCTCAGTAGTGATTTTCAATGAGTTATACTTCAGGAGAAAGAAAAATGTGTAGAATAACACGAAGATGAAGATGTTCGAAAAAAATTGCAAATGCCGCGCGTCAGTCATGTGAAGCTACACGTGATAGGGTAAGTAACAGTAAGTTACCGTATCAAAACACCCCCCTTGGGGAGGGGTCGGTAAAAAACGGTATGTTACCCCCCCTGGAGGTTTCGTGCGCAACCCTACTCTTGAGTGGCGAGCCAAAAGCGTAATTACCAGTAGCCCACCGCGAGGGTCGAACTCGCAGCCTTCAGATCATTTAACCGCCTGGCATCATAAGAGTCTGACGCTCTATCCGATTAAGCTAGGCGGGCTTACAAATTTGGGGGACGGTGTGAAATTACGGCACGGCAACGGTAGACGCTGACATTCCACTTACTTCTTCCAACTTGTTATAACTAGACGCTGAGATGACACGCCCAATCCGCGGAGATTCAGTTGAAGAGCTGCACGATAAATGATGTATATCACACGAGACGTATGGTTAGCCGCCGTTCCGTAACCATGCCATCCCGCTGGGACCTCAGCCTGGGAGGACGGACTAGTGAACAACGAGGAAACCCGCTTTCTTTATAATATTTGTGGATGTTGGACCTACGACGACTAAGTCACGGATCTGTCATCACCGCCTTTCGCAGTCGATAGGCTAAAGAGTGTTCCGCGGCACCATTGTCATCTTCCTTCGATATAGTGTTGTGAAATCCGCCACCCGCCTGACGAGTAGGATCAGTTTTGCACGATAACGGCTTCGTAATCTGAGCCCTGGTTTGAGAGCAGACAAATAGCAAGCATCGAAGACGTAAGCTTGAACCACAGCTCAGAGAAACACTCTTTTACTAGAAAGAAGCCGAAATTGCAGGTAAGGAGCACCTCGAAAGGTGCAAAGATGATATACACGCTCCCGGCTAAATTTAATGTAAGCGGAACCTTAACCCTAAGAAAAGTGAGGTCAGGTTTGTATTCAATATCTGGAGGGGGGACATACCATATATAAAGCAACCCCATCCTTCCCCGTGCTCTCACAACTCTCCCTCAAACCGCTACCATCACCCGCTCTCACCCTTCCAGACCTCCCTCCTTCCACGTCCGCATTGGTTCGAGTAAACCTAAGCCTCTCTATTCATCTGTAAGACTTTCTTTTTGCTATTTGTTCCATTAATGACACCGGGACGAAGACGATGCCCGTCCAAGGAGCAACGATGATAACGCAGCGGGGTAGAGATCCCCCAGAACTGTATTCATCACCAGAAACGGCGTTCTCCACCCCGTCGAGGGCGTCTCTCGTCATGCCTATCTATGGTGACCCGCAGCTGACCACGACGGTCCCTGTTCGCCGCCAGTATGTATCCAATCTCGACGCGTCATATACGGGATATGTACGTGAATACATCCCGTCGCCCTCGCCGCCCGTCCTTGGCAAACCGCGCCATCGTCACATCCCGCTGCCGTCCCAAACAGAGAGCGATACCGCAATAATAATCCATCCAGTGTTACGGCCGAGTCGAAGAGAGAGGATAATGGAGCTAGACTTCGCTCGCAGTCTGTCGAGCGCACGCGTTCTTGGTCACGAAAGTTGTGTGAACGAGGTGGCAACCAGCCCGCCCCTTCCGTCACTGGCTATCGTCCACCCAAAGCTTCCATGGCCGATAGTCATTCAGAGGTCGGGTGATCGAGAGTGGGTTACGGTCGCTGACATTGTCGAGACGCTATGGCATGCTCTGCAGATACGCGACCCCATGAGGTCGCCGTCGCCGTCGCTGCTCAAAAACCAAGATGATGCGCCTTGCATCAGCTGTCGCAGCATGTTGGGCTGTGCGGAGCGAAGGGTTGTTCGTGAGCCCAGACTGGCATATTTGAAGGGAAAGACGCGGTTTATGGGACTCCGCGCCATAGAAGGCGATACATGGGAACTACTCGTCGTATAGAGAAGTGTACGGCGCACAGGTCGCGCCTATGTGTGGGCGTTGGGACATTTATTCGATGTAGCTGGCTCGACCGTCACTACAATCATGTATTAGCTACGTTCAACAGACAAAGACAACGGACTAACTCTGGAAGCGCTGTCTTTGAGCAGTTTCGCGTGTAAGTGCTAACGTATAAAGGGGTGGTGGCCATAGACGTCGAGAGCAGCACTGTTCAGTTGTAGACTCGACCTTTAACCCTAGGCAAAGTGGGGTTAGGGTCACAACCCACAATCCGAGAATGCTGACATGCCTAAACATCAGACGAAATGCTCTGTCATTGCAGATCAGAGTGCGAGCGTGATAGCAACCCAATCCGTCCTACTTTTGGTGGAATGAGGATCACAGAAGTTCGGTATCGCAATTGCAATCACAACACCGCGTCATCGGACTCTGTGATCTTGCCAGCGAATACTATAGCGAAAAAATTCCCTTATCTTCGGAACTTGCGCGAGGGAAGAATGTGACAGGGAGAATGCGAGCCGAATGTGGCAAGCAGCCCGAGCTGTATTAAAGGAAGCGGCCCCGTATTACGCTTCACTATGACAGGAGTATAACATTCGTTCGGTGCATTTCCTCCAGTGTGATGTCGCCAACGCTATGATGTAGGACGCCCCTCATCTACCAGCGACGACCGTACATGGTCTCGTCACCATGGCAGTATTTTTCGCCACCAGAATGCGTTATCAGGGCTATATTTTGGGTACTAACGTTCCAAAAGCTGAGGCTACAGTGGGGCACAGGGATTCGCGGGGGACCACGATGCGCAGCTTGCCGTTATGGACATCGTGTCATGTCCGTGTATGAAGACGAAAAGAAAGCGCTGCTGGATTGTGCAGTGAAACCGGTGCTTGTCGAAGAGGCGCAGCAAGTGGGTAGCATCACTCCGGTAGATGACTCGGGGTCATCAGGAATGAGCGGGCTGCCGGTCAAGAAAGCAAAAACCTTTTGTTGGGGCAGACATGGGAAGGATACGACACTACCATGGTGAACAGACAGATGAGTGTTGATCTCACTACAGCCTTGAAAATTACGTACCTGCTGGTGTTTTCGCCCCCATTTATCATCTCTTCCTTCACCTCCTTCGTTATCGATAATAAAGGGTGTAACTGGGTAGTTTGTCTTAGACCAGAATACCTGTTACAGTGTTAGATATATGTAAGGTCGCGGGAAATGCCCTGACCTTAACTTCCTCGCTGCTTGACCGATTCCTCCAGTCATAGTATCCAATTCTCTTTGTCGCTGCAGAGTCGTATTTCTCGCTCACATAGAATGGAAAACCACGAATTATTTCATGGAGTTGGGTGATTTTGACCTAGCTGTATCAAACAAATGATGAGGTTGCAAACATGCGGAAACGAATGAATCACTCACGAACTACCGATTTCCTTGGCCATCGTCTCAAGCGTTAAGCTCTGCGTCGCCATAGTGCATTGGCGACAGACAACCCTTCAAGCTTCAGGTTGCTTTGCCTTATGACTCAAGAGTTGACCGAGGATTATTTAGCTCCTGCAGAAGGGATTTTAGTGAGGAGTTCTTCCTCGAGATTACCAAGATTGACTTACCATGCACTGCAAGCGGAACGCACTCTGCGGGACGAAGTCGTAGATTCGTAGGCCAGACCGTGTTGATGGTGGTGGTAGATGCCGACAGGCAGATCTGGATTCGGACTTTAAATATTCCCGCTACCTGTTGCGCTTTTTGGCCTAAGGAAGGCTGCCAGTGATCGTGCCCCCTTTTACGTTTTGTGGCGTGGGTTCTATCTTTGTATTGTCTCATTTCTCATATACTGTACTATTTCGACCTTATCTTCACGGGGTGTGACATGTTATGCCACATCTTCAGCCGTGAAGATCTTCACATCTGGATGTGACAGGTTATGGTCATCTTCATGTTACACATCTTCACTGCTGTGGTAGTCTTGTGGTTATGTTGTGTGATTGGGGTGTTAAATTGTTAGTTCAAGCCTCCTTAATTGCTTTTTTTTTTTTCCTCCCAGTGAATTCCCCTTTGAGCTGCCAGAGCGGAGTCGTCGAGGCCGCATCATAATACCGAATCGCTGGTATGACGGAAACGTCTGGAACGTGCATAGACAATTAAGACATGTGTAAATGTTATTTCTTGCTTGAAAAGAGCGCTAATTCGGAAGCTTCTTTCATCTCTTCACTGAGTCTTGTGACATGTTATGTGAAGTTAAGGTCGAAATAGTACAGTAATACCCCTAGCGAGGGCTGTACACTTGATGTCGAAGCTGATGATCTTACGAATGCGGACTTCTCGTGGGCGGTTTCGCAGTTGAATGATACTTATGCTGTTTGGACGTGGTTCCCGGTTGTCAGTATTCGATCTCGATGTAAAATCCCTTCGGTCCGAGTTGTATTCTCATGGTATAGATTATTCCTGTTTATGTGGAGATGCTCGTGCATACAGGTCTGCGTTGTTGTCTCACGTTTTGTTAGGTGGTTGTTTTCGGACGAGATGCCTCAGCTCCTTGCAAATAGCCCGTAGAAACGTGACGCCGGTTGCGTGTACGAAGCTGGCATGTGGGTACTCGTCCTCTAAGTCGATGTCCCTAGACTTGTTGACGCACGTATGTAGCTACTCTAGTAGAATAGGACATCTTATTTCTAATAAGCTGATGGATATAGCGTCTTCGCTGGGATATATATTGGAACCGTCTTTCGTCCGACGATGATAGCTCACTTGGAAAACTTGTGCGACCGAATAGAATGTAAGCGTAAACAATGAGATCTGGTGAAAGAATTACCGTCCGCGCATATTTTGCCGTTGGCCGTTGCGCATGGCAGTCTGCGCACCAGCTTGTTTTTCTGGTGCCTCAGGCTCATCGTGTTCATCCAGGGTCTCATCATCAGCGCGTACTCGTTTAGATTGCCGAGGTGCAGACGGCGCAGCAGAATGGTCATGATCTTCTAAGTTCTGATTCATTCAGGATGTCAGGTCCATGTTTTCGGGATGATGGGGTAGAGAGCGGCGGCGGCGATGCACTCTCTCCATAGCGTTGTGGCCGTCAATGGTTGCGTCATCCATCAAGAATGAGGGTAGGATCAGGCTCGTCTCGCACAGGCATGAAGAAAATAATTGGTAAATTGGTGTAGTATTTTACAATTTATATCATGTAAGAACTGTACAGTTTATCAGCCACCAAGGAGATGAAATTAAAATGATAGCACATACCTGGTATAGCCTTTTCCTCTCATTTCCAACATGTCTAAACGTAGACGCCTTATTATGATGCACTTTAGCCTCCCGATCGTGGCTTTCGGGAGGTCCAAGTACGTCATAATAAGATGTCTAGGACCAGAGCCAATGTCTGCCATCATAAAACATCTTAT